TCCTGTAGACATGGAGGTGGAAAGGCTATGCATAAAGGTAGCTATAATGGCACCTGGAGTCTCCTCTGAAGTATGGCCCAGGCAGGAGGTCAAGCTCCAGAAGTTGCCAGCTTTCAGATAGAGCCTAAAACAGGGGAATTGGAGGGATCGGTGTGGAAGAGAAGACATGAGAGGGAACATGAGAAGGGACATCAAGAGACAGAGCAGCAGTGGTGGGGGTGGGGGAAGGGTCTTCCCAAAGAGGGAAAAGATCAACTACTGGAAGTCCTCCAGGATCAAGAATTAAAGATGGATTGAACAACTGGAGCCATATTGGTGGGGTATCTGGAGTCAGCTCAGGAGGCAGACTTAGAGATAGTGCCCCACAGCCTTGTCCCTACATCATGTCCTGTGGCCATCCATGAATGATAGCTAGGCCAAGGTCAGATGACATATATCAGCCTGCCCAGAGTTGATCTGCCCTGTCCTGTCCTGTCTTTCCTTGCCCAGGTTCTGCTGCCCTGTGACTAATGCTCACATCTAGAACAAGACACATGGGGATGAGAAGCACTGTCTGGAAAAGCAGTGTTACATTAATTAGGCTGGGAGAAGGCAGAGCTACTTAATTACTTCCTCTAGATTCTGTCTTCTCCAGCTAGAAGGTAGTCTTCAAAAAGAACATCACCTTGTAATCCTAGCTACTCAAGGAGGCTGAGATCTGAGGATCACATTTCAAAGCTAGCCCAAGTGGGAAAGTCTGTGAGACTCTTATCTTCAATTAACCATTAGAAAATCAGAAGTGGACCTGTGGCTCAAAGGGCTAGAGAGCTAGCCTTGAGCAAAAGAGCTCAGGACAGCACCCAAGCCCTGAGTTCAAGCCCAACAATCAACATAGAAAGAAAGACCGAAAGACAGAAAGAGAGACAGAGAGAAAGACAGACAGACAGAAAGAAAGAAAGAAAGGAAGGAAGGAAGAAAGAAAGGAAGAAAGAAAGGAAGAAAGAGAGAGACAGAAAGAGAGAGACAGGAAGGAAGGAAGGAAGGAAGGAAGGAAGGAAGGAAGGAAGGAAGGAAGGAAGGAAGGAAGGAAGGAAGGAAGGAAGGAAAAAAGAAGGAAGGAAGGAAGAAGGAAAGAAAGAAAGAAAGAAAGAAAGAAAGAAAGAAAGAAAGAAAGAAAGAAAGAAAGAAAGAAAGAAAGAAAGAAAGAAAGAAAGAAAAGAAAGAAAAAGAGCCAGGCGCCGGTGGCTCATGCATATAATCCTAGCTACTCAGGAGGCTGAGATCTGAGGATTGCGGTTCAAAGCCAGCCGGGGCAGGAAAGTCCATGCGACTCTTATCTCCAATAAAAACCACTAGAAAACTGGAAGTGGCACTGTGGCTCAAGTGGTAGAGCGCTCGCCTTGAGCTCAAGAGCGCAGGGACAGCGCCCAAGCTCAGAGTTCAAGCCCCACAACCGACCAAAAAAAAAAAAAAAAAGAACATCACAAAAAAATCTGGAGTTCAAGATAGTGTGGAGTTAGCAAGAGGCTTCACAATGTCCTCAAAGGACTTCAGATGACTGCACTGCTCCCTCTCATTCTACTCCCCTATGCTTGGAATTAAAGCCAGAGCATAACAAATGGGAAGGGCAATGGTCTAATCCCCAACCATGCAGAGCATGTTCACAGAAATGACTTGTACAGAGAGAGACTGTAGCCAAACTACTTCTGATTCTCAAAAGGGATTTACAAGATGAATTAATACATTAAAAACACTTAGGATACTATCGTGAGCATTCCATCTATGCACTTTAACACTGTATTATATAAACATGGTCATATATAGCATATTATCATTATTATTCTGCAGACAGACCTAGACCAGTGGACAGGCATTACTGGGAGCCAGACGACTTCTAGCCTCCAGTGAGCTGATAGCCTGGCTTAGGATCTGCCACTAGTTATTGGCATTAACTACTACGCTAGCCCTGGCTTCTTTGTGTGCTTGGCTGATCCCATGTGAGCCTGTGGCTGACCACCTCCCCTGGGTTCTCCTTCATTAACCATAGGACACTGAAGGTTTTGGAAATCAGTGCATTTTATATAAATTACCCCAGCAGGCCAGTGAGGAGAATTAGCCTGGTTTTTCAGACTGGAACACTGTGATTCAGAGGGCAAATGGCCAGTAGAAGTCAAACTTCAAAGTCAAGTCTCTAGGCTAGCCCTTCCCCAATCACACAGCAGGCAAGGAGCTAGTCCTCTGGTTAAGCTGTTTCGATTGCTACCCCTACCTAGCCACTACTAGTCACAGGCCAAAGCCAATATCTACCCAAGGCCACATATGTGCCACAGTGAGAGCCTGAAACTCTGCCTGGGCTAGCCAAAGTCACCCAAGCCAAAGCCATTCAGGACATTTTTCCCTCTCTTTATGAGATGCAAAAAGTAGAGCCAGAGAGGTTTAGCACTGTGCTCAAGGTCATACAGAAAGGAATACAAACTTGACTCTCGACTTTCAAGCCAGAGTCATGTTGCCCTATCCTGATACAAAAGGAAGAAAAGACAGGAAGGTCCTGGGCCAGCACTAGCCCTCCTCCGAGAGAGGAGCAGAGCTGTCTGCCAGCTTAGGGGGCTCCCTCCATTCTGTGGCCTCCTGGTGCCAGGGATCAATTCCCATATCACTAAACAGAAGCCTTGCTGGGACAGGCAAGTAGTCTTGGAGCTGTTCTGGCAGGGGAGTGCAATTAATGCTGTTGTTTGCAAAAAAGAAGCCAGAGGTTCCGAGACAAGGCTAACAGGACAAGGCTAACTCCCCTACTGGGGAGTCCTAGGTAAGCACCCAGCCTAAGGCTGGGTACTGGCCAAGCCCTTAGCTTCCCAAACACTCACATTCCCCACTTCACCTGACCACCACCTTCCCCGCAGCACTAGGCTCTTTGCACCCCCACCAAGTATGGCCATGTAGTGTCCCAGGCAAGGACACAGCTGGCCCTGCTCACACCAGAGGGGTCTTTACTTATTGGTGGCTGGCCACACATCTACCTCAGATGTCTACCTGCTCCAATATGTGCCCTTTACCACAAAGGGCTCTCTCACAGGATGGGTGGAAATGGACAGCTATCAATGCCAGTGAGTGTGAAGCCCAGGGAAGGGTCATTTTCAGGACCCTGCTCAAGTGACCATATCTTCCACCCACCTCCCCACTTTCCTGTCTACCATATCCTCAAAGATGACCTATGGCTGGGCACTAGCGGCTCATACCTATAGTCCTAGCTACTCAGGAGACTGAGATCTGAGGATCATGGTTCAAAGCCAGCCTGAGCAAGGAAAGTCTGTGAGACTCTTATCTCCAATTAACCACCAAAAAACCAGAAGTAGAACTGTGGCTCAAGTGGTGGAGTGCTTGCCTTGAGTTGAAGAGCTCAGGGGCAGCGCCCAGGCCCAGAGTTCAAGTCCCATCAAAAGAAAAAAGAAAAGAAAAAGATGACCTCTGCTCCCTCCAGACATCTAGTTACTCAGGACACCAATTTCTGTATCCATCTGTCTAATATCCCTCTGGAAAAGGCTAGGGCCTGGCACCAAGGGGATGGCCCACTGGTATCTAACAATACAATATGATCCACATAGCCATCAGTTCATTCTTTTACTGACCATAGGCATTGGCACCCACACTGCAGGCCTGTGTCAGTCCCATGCAGGGTCTATGAGGGGATGGAGCCACACCACTCAAAGCTACCAAAAGAGCACAGCAAGTTACAAATCCAGGGCCCTGCATTCAGTTCCAGCCCAGCCTAGAGCAACAAGAAGTCCAGCAGGGCCCCCAAAGGAATTATAGGCCCATTTTCCATCTAAGCCTTTACAAAAGCATTTCAAGAGGCAGGCATCCCCCACACCAAGCTCCCAGATCCCCAAATCTTAGCCCCTAAGCCCATCTTCATCTGCATACATGGCTGTCACCAAAGGTGGAGTCACTTTTCTCTGTGGCCTCCCACAGTACTGTGCCCAGCACTCTCTGAAAGAGAGCCTCCAACAAGAATGACAGGGATCCTCCTGTGTCCTCCAGTGGCAGGGCAAGAAGCGTCGAGCTGCCTGAGACCCCCACTTCAGCAGAGTTTTGAAGACACACATACCTACTGTGTCACATGCCCTCATTGGGCTTATGTGAGAGAATACTTTTTTAAAGAAAGCATTTTGGTGGAAACTCCACACTCTTCCTCTCTCCAAGCTGACCTTACTCATTTGCAAGGATGATGGACAGAAAGATCTGTCTACCCTCTGATCTACCCTGATACTTTGATGTGTGCACACAGTCTCTTCCCTCCTACCACAGAGCAGGCCACCTAGAGGGTAAGAAAGCCCAGATTACAGGTACCATCCCTAAAGTGTCCTAAAGGGAATGAGAGGACAGATGTCTTGAGGGCGGATGGGTGCTGTTCCCCTTGTGCTCCTAGGCATGGCCCCTGCCCATCACATAGCAGCTGCTAAGATCTTGCAATCCAACCTCATTTCTGAGGAGTTCTGGGTCCCCAGAGCTGATTTGCTCTACAGAGCAGGGAACCAGACAGGAGAACAGACCTATGGCAACAAGCCTAGAGGAGACGAGTGTGCTATCAGAGTGCTCACATCACCTCTTTATTTCTAGTGACCGAACATAGCAAACTTAGCTCAGAAAACTGAATCATCACAGAAAAGCACAAAGGGCTGCACAACAAGCTACAATAGCAGTCATCTGCAAATACCAGAAAGGGTCTGGAACCCAAGAGTCATGAGCCATTCTGTGGGGCAAAACTAGTTCCAAAAATGAAATGAAGTACCAGGATGTAATGCGACAACCCTTTTTTATTTATAACCCACCTCTGTTCCAATGGGCCACCATGGGAGGAAGTGAGTTGCCCTGTTCCTGAGGGTATTCAAGCAGGGGCCAGATGACACCATGGAATTTATCCCAGTAATGATGCTCTTGACCTCTAAGATCCCCATCACTTGTGGGAAGTGAGATCTCTCCATGCCACCCCTTACTCTTGCCAGACCCAGAATCAAACTCACCCACAGGTGTGTCCTCACTGATCAGCAGGTATGTGTCAAAGAAGTGATTGATAAAGAAAGGCAGCCGGTTCACCTGGCCTGGAAGTTAGAGGACAAGAACATTAGCTGAGGACCCCCGCCAGCTTCATGCATTTTTCAAGGAGATGCAAAGTGGAGTCTGTGTGGGCACCCAATCTGTCTGCAGTGCTATCAACTTCCCAGGACCCTGAAGGTCACTGTCAGGTTACACGGTCACAGGTGACTACTGAGTGCTGGCCCTATTGAGCCATGGACACAGAATGCACACACGTTTTGTAAACTGCAAAAATAAATGAGTATAAAATACCTCCTTACACTTTTACTATTTGAGATAGTAGGTTAAGTAACACATATTTTTAAAAGGGATTTTATTTTATGCTTCTAAAGTGGGTGCTGAAAAATTTAAACCCACACCTATGGCTGTGTGGTAATTCTATTGGACAGCATGGCTTGTAATAGAACCTGAGCTTTGCAAGGTCCATGGCTCAGCTGACCATACTAACCGCAGCATGTGGGGCTAGGGTTAGAATACCCTCAGTACATGTCTGTCCTGTAAATAAGCAGCTACTCGATCTCATAGAAAGAAGGATAATCAAAGTGTCACAGATGACACATGTGGAATAGTTTACACAATGCTAACATAGCCTCCTATGTGATCTTAACCCGATGCCAGCCAGCAGGGCAGGTGCTCTTCCATGCCTCCTTACTGTGGGAAGCGAGGACTAGAATCACAAGTGAGCAGCTCAAGCTCACTTGCACAGCTGGCCAGTGGCATGGGCCACACACCACCCAGACTTGGAAGCACGCCCTGCTAATCCAGTGCCCCTGCCAACCTTGCAGGGTCTGGAAGGGATCAGGTGATGCCCATGTGGGTGGAGGAACTTGGTGTCTGTGAGGAGCCCTGACCAGACCAAGGTTCCACATGAAGCCTCCCCAGCGCTAGCTTCACCTCTCTTCCAGCCTTCCCCCTGTGGTAGGAAAGTGAGGCCCCTTCCCCACCTCAGTTGCTGTCATCCAGAGGCAGCTGGGCTCCTGCTGGGTCCTCCAGGGGCCCTGGATGTGGCAGGGGCAGCTCTCCCTGTCTGCTGGCCTCAAGCTCTTTCCATATCTTTTCTCCTTCATTGTTCAGGTAGCCAGGCTGTAGCTCCTTCTGGTCCCTGTAACACTTTGGCCAAGATTACTGGCCTTTCTGCCTGCATGCCAAGTTCCTATTCATTCATTACCACTTCTCTTTCATGTCCCTTCCACCTGGAAGCCTTCCCTTACTGCCCTGAATATGTGTGTGCCCTCCTACCCTCTGGGAGGGGCTAGTGGTCAATCTCTCATCTTCTTTGTAACCTCTTTGTGTCTCTTTGTAGCCACACCATCTTTCCATGCCTTTGTTTACTCTGGCAAAATACCCACAATAATGGGACTTATTTCACAGTTGACCCAAGGAAGGAAGCAAGTACTCCATAAATGGTAGCTATTATTAAAACTGGCAGGGCTGGGAAAGTGGTGCAGTGGTAGAGTGATTGACTTGCATGCATGAGGCCCTAGGTTTGATTCCTCAGCACCACATAAGCAGAAAAAGCCAGAAGTGGAGCTGTGGCTCCAGTGGTAGAGCACTAGCCTTGAGCTAAAGAGCTGAGGGACAGTGCCCAGGCCCAGAGTTCAGGCCCCACGACCAACAACAACAACAACAAAACCCACTGGCATTACTACTGCCTTTGAAGCCAGGTTTGGTGGGGGGTGGGGAGGTGGGGGAGGGAGAATGTTAGCTTCTGACCCCTGCTGGGGGCCCTGGGCTTCCAAGACAGTGAAGCAGAGAGGCACTGAGAGGAGACAGCCTCCAGCACCCAGAGAATTCAGTATCAGGCTGGTGGGTGAGAGCAGGAAACTAGGGAGAAAAGTACATTTGTGGGCAGCCGCTTGGTTCATTTCGAAATTTCCTTTCATAGGACTTGCCAATAATCAGGGCTGCAAGCACTGCACAGGCAGCTGGTTGGACTTGGAGATATGTGTGTCAGCTGCCATACATCAAGCAGGTCTTGAGTTCTCAAAAAGCCTGCACAATGCCTGCCCCTCCCCTGCCCCCCCCCAACCCCTGAAGCTGCTGGCCTCTGCTATTTTGGGCACTGCCTGATTCTGTCCAAAGACAAGTGTTGTTCCTAGAGCATGGTGGGTGGCAGCTGGCCTTGGGGACTGAAGGACAGTTGTTTCTGAAGCCATTTTTCCCATGCAGTCCATCCTCCTAGAATCTCTTTTTCTGTTCCCATACCCCAACATAGGGTCCCTCTCCACTTGCTCTCCATGCAATCCTGTGGTCCTGGTTGAGCCCTCTTCTGTCCCTGAAAGTCACAGCTAGTTTGGTCTCAGGGACAAGCCCTCCATGATGTTGACCCTCACCTCCTGTGAGCCTGCCACCCCCTGATCTTCTTCCTCCCTCTTCCCCTGGCTTCCAGGTGCCTCTCAGGTCTGTGGAGGAAGGAGCTATAGGCCTGAGGAGCTTCTGCCCTGTCCCATACCCATCTGTGGGCTGGGAGAATCCTACTGAGTTCTGCCGGTCATCCAGCTACTAGATGTGAGAAAGCCTTGGCCATGGGGCTGCTGGCTTCCCCCACTGTGGCGAGGGTGGGAGGTTCTGGCCACTGGAATGTGGTGGCCACACTGTACCCCCTGTACAGTGATCCCTGGTAGCATGGCAGGGCCTTCTCCCCAACTTGAGGCTAGAAAGTGAAGAGCCCAAGAGACAGAAGATGGTACCCAGGGCCATCTCTCAGTACTCTCTGGGCAGACCTTGTTTCTCCTTGTGGGGAAGGGAAAAGGTGGGCAGAGAGCTCCCTGTCACAGGAGCATCCCAGCAAGGATGCCTCCAAACAGAATAGCAAGAGAGGGGACCTTCCCTGGCTGCAGAATGTTAATGGCACTTTAGCAAGGCTGACGCTGCTGCTTCCTCCAGAGGCTCTTCCAGCTCCCAGAAGTGGCAAAGGGGCCTGTGTCACCAGGCACACGTGCCCACAGCTCTTCCTTGGGGACAACTTGGCCGTGAGGGACCTTGTATATGACATGCCTGTAGTTCTAGTCTTCCTTCAGTACAGTCAGAGCTGCCTTGCTCCTTGCTACCCACTGTCCAGGGAGAGGAGAGTGGGTGCCCAGGAGGCCTTCCTGGCCTCCCCTGAGGATACCAAAGTGGCTCCTGGAGGAGAGAGTTGCTGCTGAAAGAGTGCCAATATCTTGCTTGGCTCTTTCCCCCCTGGATGCCTTCTCCCTTCTCTCCTTGTCTAAAATGTCATTCAGTCTTCAAAGGTCAGATGAAAAGCTTTCCCTTTTGGCTGCAGCCCAAGGGCTCCCACCTTCAGGGAGACTTTTCAGGAGCATGGGCATCTCTAGGACCACACTATTCACCTACCTGTGTGTTGCAGTACACCCAGTATACTCCGCTATACCCTAAACCCCTTTAATGAGTGGTACCTACCCGCCCCCAGCAAAGGTGAGCACAATGCATACAGGACATCACATAGGAGGCACTGAAAAGACAGCCAGGAAACTGAACATACCTAACCCAAAAGCCCAAGGAAAGGGCAGTTCACGGTCACAGATCAGAGCTGAAGTATTTCTCAAAGCTCCTCCCATCCCCCTGTGTGTCTAGGGCCCCTGGGGACAGCAGGGTATTTTCAGCCCTGTGTGAGCCACAGCTGAGGCCCAGACAGGGAAATGCATCTTGAGTCACATAGCACAGCAGGTCTCTGGATCCCACAGCACCAAACTGCATAGCTGGCCCGAGGATCCCCTAGTCTGGCCTCCCAGGCAAAGGCCAGGGTAGGGGAAGCAGAGAGGCCTGGACTTACCCCAACATCCAGAAATCAGCACAAGAAACCAGATCACAAGGAAGCAGGCAGCCACGTGGCACCTCATGGCTCCTGGAGACACAAAGAAGAAAAGGGTGAGATACTCCTTTCTACTATATTTATGGCCTCCCCACCCCTAGAATCTCTACCTCTACAGCTTCAGAAAGAACCTGGTCTGAGAAGGGGGAGAAGGAACAGCTCCCTATGAAGGAAGGGCAGGAATAAGAGGAAGGATCTGTGTCACTCAATTTTATCATCATCTAACCCAGTGGGATGGCCCGGTCCTCTTTGCCCTTTGGGATGAGGGATGGCTCAAAGCAGGCTCAGAATCTGTTCTGGGCTCAGTGGGTAGAGGGATGGGATGTTGCTGCTTACTGAGACCACATCTCCTAAGCATCGCAGTGTAGGGATTGTGGACAGGGTTAAGGAATGGTGCTGACCAAGAAGACAGAGTTAGTATGGGCTTAGTGAGTCCACCAAGCCAACATTGGTAACCAGTGCCTCTCTTCCTGTTTTTACTCCTGTCACATTATCTTGGAGATGTTATCTTTTGACCTTGAAGATGAGGAAGCAGCAGGCCACGAGGTCCAAGAGGCACAGAGCAATAGAGAGCTGTCCAAGGACCCCACAGCAAATCTGTTGGAGGCTGACACTGAATGCTGGAGAGCTCAGAGTTAAGGTATGGAAAGATTTGAGGCACAGCTGATGGAGCTCAGTAAGGCCAGGTCCCATCTAGAAGGCAGGCTGGGAGGTGACTGTGTCCTAACCTTGGGTCCTGGCCCCTAGGCTGTAAGGAACTGCCTCAAAGCAACATCAGAGGTTCAAGCTCATTGGCTGGGAGTTCTACTTTTCCTAGGACAGTTAGCTCCACCCATCATCCTTCAGTAAGCACCCACTTGTCATCTTGCCAAGGGTACCACTCCTTGGCCCATGAATCAAGGTCTAGAGGCTGGCAGCCATGAAACAACTTGCTTAGAGACTCTACTGGCAGTGATGGAAGAAAACTTGGACCCAAGGTGACATGTCACCTCCTCATCAATAAGTGACTGGGAGAGGCACAGGGAAGAGAATGGAACTGGAACCAGGAAAGGACCTGGTGGAGAGACTTCCACACTCTGCCAAGCTTGGGGCATGAGCTTCAGAAAGGCCCCATTTTTTTGTGCCAGTGCATGGGCTTGAACTCAGGGTCAGGGCACTGTCCCTTACTTCTTTGCTTAAGGCTGGTGCTATACCACTTGAGCCACACCTCCACTTCTGGCTTTTTGATGGTTAATTAGAAAAGAGTCTCATGGACTTTCCTGTCCAGGCTGTCTTCAAACCACAATCCTCATACTTCAGGCCTCCTGAGTAACTGGGTTTACAGGTGTGAGCACTCTTACCTGGCTTCAGGCCCTTGACTTGGACTTGAAGAGAACTTTGGGTTCATAACCTGAGTGGACAGGAGTGACCCTGTGGATGGGTCCTGACCTGAGATAATGGCTCATTTGTTTTCTTTCTGTACTAAAGATGATTTTGAAGTGTGAACATGCTAGGGGACACTAAAAGATCCCACTATGGTTTTTTTTCTGTTTTTTTGTTTTGTCAGTTGTGGAGCCTGAACTCTGGGCCTGGGTGCTGTCCCTCAGCTCTTCAGCTCAAGATTAGTGCTCTTTCACTTGAGCCACAGCGCCACTTCCAGCCTTTTCTGCTTATATGTGCTGAGGAATCGAACCCAGGGCCTCATGCATGCAAGGCAAGCACTCTACCACTGAGCAACCTTCCCAGCTCCCGCCCCACTACATATTTGAATAACAAAGGACAAATCCCTCCACTTTACCAGAGTTTACAAATGTTCAGAGCCCATCTTGGAGGTGTGCAAATTATGGGGGCCAGTTAGGGAGCAGAAGGGTGCTTACAGGATTCAGCCACTTAAAGGCTACATACTCTGGGTGAAAGTAGCACTTGCTGATATGTTTCAACCCAAAGGGACCCAGTGTCTGGGACCTTCTGATTTTCTCTCAATGACATTTGGGAAATTGGGCTAGTTTATATATTGAACTTTTCTTTTAGGCAGTATTGGGGTTTGCTTCCCAGGCAGGAGTTCTATCACTTGAGATATACTCCTACTCCTTTTTTGCTTTACATTTTTTTTATTTTTAATTTTTATTGTAAAGGTGATGTACAGATGGGTTACAGTATAAGTCAGGTCACCCTCTCCCTCATTTTCTCCCAGTTTTTGTTCCTTCTGACTTCCTTTTTTGCTTTAGTCATATTTTAGGTAGGGTCTTATGTTTTCTGACTGGGCCTAGCCTTAGACTACAGTCCTATCCATGTTGCTTTTGGGTAGCTGAGATTACAGGTATGAGTCACTATGCCCAACCAGGATTCAAGTTTTAAGTGTTGACAAATAATGTCAAGTACCAGGTATGACCCATCTGGCAGGCTGGCCTGGTGTGCTACCAGGCCTTTCTCTGTATCTTAGTATATCCCCATTACACACACACACACACACACACACACACACACACACACACTTACATGCAAAGTCTATTGAGTCTCTCTCTACAAACATACAAGCAACTTATGAGCAGGGGTGGGGGCAGTGGGAGTGGCTGAGTGGTAGAGCACTTGGTAAACACACACGTGGCCTAGGTTCCATCCTCAGCACAACACACACACACATACACACACACAAATTGCTTTTCTCATGTCATGATGTTCCACAGATGACTCTACAGGCCAACACAGTGTAGAACAGCTGACTTAACAATTCACAGTTTGGGTATTTCATAATGAAGCTCACCAACCCTCCTGTGGGTATGTGGCTCCTGCCACCACAGGCCATGCCCCTGGACAGCTCTCTGCAGATGACTGCATAGAAACTTTGCTCTTCAATTAAATACAATATATGGCATGTATGCCAGCTCTCCTTAGATGTTGCCAGGTAGCCCTCTGGGAAAGGGAGGGGTGCAATGTACAGTATCTCCCCAGGGTACTGGAAGCCTGTGGGCCCACCCACAAGTGGTTCCTCTTTCAAATGGCTGCAAATCAGATGCAAGAAAAATGCTATGGCCATGTTGCTTTTATTTGCATTTCCCTAACTACTACTGAGGTTTAGCAAGAGACCTGTTTCTAAATGTTCCAAGCACATTCCACCTGTTGGCACATGCTCTTCTATCCTATCCTGTAACACAGTGAGCCAGTGTCCCTAAGTACTGGTCCTGGTTTACAAGTGGAGAAACCAAGGCACAGAGCAATTAAGTTACAATCTGATATCTCCTGGGTGAATGTCTTTAGAAAAAATAAATTCCAGTCCTCTGTCTTGCCAAGCCAGATGTTTGGAGAATAAAACATCTTCTAAGAACATCACCCAGAAATAGCTGGGGGAGGGATGTACACCATTCTGCTGGTCAGTACAGGAAGTCTGCAGCACAGAGAAGGAGGAGGGAGGGAGGAAGGAAGGGAGGGAGGGAGGGAGGGAGGGAGGGAGGAAGGAAGGAAGGAAGGAAGGAAGGAAGGAAGGAAGGAAGGAAGGAAGGAAGGAAGGAAGGAAGGAAATGCTTATTAGAAAATCCTATGGGCTAGGGATTTCATGGGTATTATTTTTACTCAATTTTCCAAAACATCTCTGTGACGTAGATATTCTTGCCTCCGTTATACAGGAAAGAAAACTGAGGTTTGAAAAGGCCACTCTGGTGAGCTGGGAGTCTGTCTAACCCTGAAGCCCAGAGATCTGCTGCCTGTTTCCTTACATATGAAAAGGAAAAGCATGGCCACCCTCCTTGCAGTACACGAACACCCACAATGAGCAAGAGTGGTCTCTGTTGGGAGCAGCACCCATATCTGTGTCCCATGCTATCCCACAGCCACAATAGCCCTAGGATCCCACCTCTCTCCTTAGATGTCCATTTCCTGCTAGGTGCCGGGTGCCTATGCCTATCATCTTAGCTACTTAGGAAGTTGAGATCTGAAGATCACAGTTCAAAGCCAGCCTAGGCAGGAAAGTCTATGAGAATCTTTAACTCCAATTAAAACTACCAAAAAGCCCAAGTAGAGCAGTAGCTCAAATGGTAGAGCAGCACTAGCATTGAGCACAAAAGCTCAGAGACTACGCCCAGACCATGCATTCAAGACCCAGGACTGGCACAAAACAGAAGTCTATCTCCATCCCCTTCAGGAGCCATCAAACTGCCAACCAGTCAAAGTGACCATATACAACCTAAGAAGGAGAGCCTGAGCTTGCTCTGCCCTGGGCAACAGTTGTTCCTAGCCTCCTGACCCTGCCTCCCACCTGATCCCAGCCCAGCCAACTTCCTCCACCACAGGAGGCTGTAGCTCCCTGGGGACTGCACCTGCACTTGGTATCACTTTCTCCACAGATCAGGAAAGAGACACACCCTGTGAACCAGGATTCTTGTCAGGGCCTGAGACACACCAGAATGCTTCTGCAGAGCTAGAAGCAAGGTCAGCTGACTGCCTCTAAATATTTCAGGTGGCTGGCTTAGATCCCCTCCTGTAGGAAAGGTTCTTCAAACCTCTCAAACATCCCCATTAGGAGACACACATCCAGGCCCCCAGGCCCTCAGGACATCTATTTCCAACATCCACCTTACCAGGCCCCCATATTTAATGCCGTAGGGAACACAGAGCTGTGACAATGACATATGCCAGGTGTCAAGTTTGTGATACAGACTACCACTGCCCAGGGCCATCGGAAGACAGGATCTCAAGACACAGAGCTACATGGATGTAGCTTTATGTGTGTGAGAGTATGTGTGTGGGCTGGTCCTGGAGCTTGAACTCCAAGCCTAGGTGCTGTCCCTTAGTTTTTATGTTCAAGGTTAGTGCTCTACCAATAGAGCCACAGCTCCACTTCCAGACTTTTGGTAGTTCATTGGAGATAAGTCTTCAGTTTAAAGCTGGCTTTAAACTGCTAACCTCAGATATCAGCCTCCTGAATAGCTACCATTACAGGCATGAACCACTCGTGGCCAGCCTTGAAGATTCTTGATGCTACTGTTTATAAAATGTATGCTGTCTGCTAGGCACTACATTCTGAGACTCAGAAAGGTTAAATAACTTGCCCAAGGCCACACAGCCAACAACTGGTCAATTCTGGGGTC